GCCAATTTTACTGAAGTTATTAAGCAATAACCAGTTCATCACAATTAACATGATTTGGGTTAGACCTAAGCTAACATGCCCACACTCTTTCTCTCTTACCCACATTCAAATCCTGTGTTCAACAAAGCAAAAGCCATTTGCTTAGTCACACTCATATTTTTTTCTGTTAACCATGACGTGGTTTCACATATAAATCCTGTTTTTCTTTGCCTGTTAGTCTTTTTTCTTGGACCTCGTGGATCTTCAGAACCTCGAGCAAGCACCAACCGTAAGACAAACTAAGGATAATGAGATCCGATAATCAACAAAACACTTTTTTATTTATTAAAAAAATGTTTACCTATTCATGCGCCTAAAATGAGTCTAATCAATCCTGAAATTCAAGGGAAATAGCCCCATAAAATGTATACAAATTATGGGTCCATTGATGCATGTCACCTTATGCTAGCAGTTCATTCGCTTATTCGACCTGCTAATTAAATCCCACATATAGTTGGGAGCTATAATTTAACTTGTAGCCTGAGTTAAGGTGTCGAGTTATTACCTGTTAGTGCGTTGTTGAATTTATTATTCTCAATGACGTGATTAGCAGTATTGCAAAAACTGAAAAAGCAGAACATCGTTGTGCTATATCAGTGACGATGGGACGGATTATCAGTAAAAGAAATTGACGAAAGATAACGATACGGACATATTACTAATAATCATAATTAAAAAGTTATAATTTTATGTTTGTACAAATAACAAGAGCTTTTTTTTTTTAATGTTAATATCTCCTAGAGCAAAAGAAAAGAATGAAAAGACGTGCTTAGTTGAATTTGAATTCAGTGAATAATTTAAATTATTATTTCAAAAATTCAAAAACCGATCTCACAATCAGAATATTCTTACTTATGTTATTCCCTCCAAATGTTCAAAATTCAAGACTTTTTTAGTATCATAAGACATAATTAATAGATATAAATCCGAGTTGAGTTGGAAAATGAAAATGGGAGAGCATAATTGAGGAAGTGTCAAATGGAAGACGCATTATGATTTCACAAGGGATGATGACAACCAATTGACAAGAAAGATCAACCTCTGAGGGATAATGGGATTAGACATTGTGCTAAGCCGTCATTAATTAATTCCCTCTTTCTTATTGTTTTTTGCCTCAATCGACCACATTACGTCGCCTCCCTCTCTCAACGGCTCATCTTTTGACGTTAACCTCTCCAACTCATCTCTCTCTCTCAATTCTCTCTTCGGGCACACCACGTTCCTCTCTGTACTATATAATCTAGTTAGCTCTGTTTCTCTCAGCTGAAGACGCGTCTATTCAATCCAGCACCGTGCTTAAAGGTCCGAGCCAACACGACCACGTGCTCATCATTCCTCCAATAATCATCTTTTTCTTGACTAATCACCACTCTTAGTTAATCCTGACCAGCGTTCCCGTCACCATGATACAATTCATTGATCCTCAATTCATGACTAATGTGATTCAGTACAGTGAATTATGCAGGAGGCCAGAGTGGAGGGAGAAAGCTTGACTTTTTGAGGAGAAAAAGGGTTTAAAGCTTTTTTCACGGGCAGGCGAAGAATAAACAGTAATAATTACAGATTGACTTTAATTGCAAGGAACAGTGGAGGCAACTTTATTCATATCAGAGAATATTTAAGTTAAATCACTGATTGAGATGATATGAATGGGTTTTGTGAAGTAAGTAACGATGTGGAACCTGTTTCCCCCGACTTATAACCTGGAGTAAAAAGTCCACTTCCTTCTTTTTACTTTATTCTTGTGTTATTGTGGGGTGGGCAAGTGAATGAAGCATGATCCTGCTCCATCGCTTCATTCCTTGTTGGTAAATCAATCTATTTTCCCACGAACTAAAATTAGAGTTAACTACTCGGGATGAAACCGCATTTTAATGTCCAAGCACCCCCAACAAATTGAATTAAAAGATTTGTTGTTTATGAAAACATGTATATAAGGAGGCCTCTACTTGTTAAAACCGTGTGGAGCGTGATTAATTTGATTGATTAAGGTAATATTCATGGAAGTCTAAGAAAAGAAGAAAAATGAGGAATTTAGCCTGATCTTAAGATAGGGCCGACCTGAACCTGAAGTCGTTAAACCAGGCATCAGTGTAGAATAATGGAGCTGTGGATTCACACAAGGGGGGGACAAAGTAGGCACCGTAACTAAAAGTTGAATCCCCCCATTTGTTGTCATTAATTTAACAGGGGACGTAGAAGCCGAATGAGACAGTTTTTAACATTTCTGGGAAGAATCCTTGAAGAGATCGAGCCATGTAAATGAATGTGATACTGACTGAAATAAAAGCTCAACGGCCGAAACTCAACGGTTTTCTGGACGACCGCTTTCTTTCACAAGCACGCAACCACAGAAGTGATTGCCTAAAGAGTTGGGCCTTTCATGAGAAGCCCAAAGATGGAAAGTTTACAAAACCAGGTCCCCTTCACTCAATCACTCCCAATAAATCCCATGTCAAACAAATCCTGCAGGGCAACGATGTTGGCCCACCTATGTTGCCATGCGTGATGGGTCCGGTTTTTATGCTCATCTCAAAGATGAGCGTTTGTGCTCATTTTTTAAATGAGATTTAAATTTAAAATTAAATTTTAATTTAAATGATTCAGATTTAATGTATTATTATATATTATGTTTATTAAAATAAATATTTATAAAATAATTTTAATAAATTTTTTCTTTTTAATCTGATCTAAATTTAATTTAGTGAACCTAATTTAATATTAAATTTTTTATAATTTATATATATTGATTATCTAGATGTATTTTGTACAGTCTTGAATTGTGCAAAATAAATCTGGATAATCAATATTTATCAATTATAAAAATTTTAACATGAAATTAGACCCTCTAAATTAAATCTAGATTAGATTAAAAAAATTTATAAAATTATTTTATAATTTTTATTCTAATAAATATAATATATAATAATATTATTTTAAATTTGAATGATTTAAATTTCATTTTAAGGATGAGGAGGGAAACCAAATCCCATGCGTGATATGCCGAAAGTTGTCATTGTTTTTTGTGTTCGTAGCATTATATTCTCCAAATGTTTGCAAAGCCTTCTCCATGAGCTCCTGCTGCTTAGTCATTGACTTTTTTTAGCACTAGGCATCTCAGCAACACGTGAATGCTGGTAATTTTTCTCATACTTTTAAAGAATTCACTACGACATGTTTATGGGATTGAACAACAGAACAAGAGTAAGAAGCGAATATCCACCACATAGTAAGGACTTCTCGTGCCTTTCACCATTTATGCTGGTTAATTCGTAACCATATCTCTTGCATCCCTCGGTTATTCCTCTCATTTGTTCCACCAAGAGAGCCCTAAACAAGAGTGTAAGGCATATGACCAACATGAGAAAATGGCACGCACTTTTTTTTTTTTTTTTAAATTTGAATTGATGGCTACTGAAAAAGTGCGAGGAAACAATAAAATCAAATCATGTCAAAACTTAATAAACTTTTGCATCTTAATGATGGAAATGCCTTTCGAATCAATTAGTCTGCGCATTTATTAACACCCATGCAAGCATGATTGAAAGTAATGATCCAATTTTGAGGAGATATATGATTTTCTTGATTGTGTTAAAGAGGCGAAGATCTGAGTCTCATGTAAGTCAGTCCAGCACACTTTCCAAATGTTTGACATACTAAAACAGTAAACATTGCCACAGAGCCACCACCAACTGTGAGATCTCCCATTTGCGTGTGGGCTTAAGAACAAAAGCGTGCGAGAAGGAAGAGATTGATACTGCTGATAGTTTTGGATGTTCAGAGGCAGCGACTCTGATTCTTTATAGACCAAATGCTTATAGGTACTTCCTCAGCAAATGCTAGTGGATATACTAACAGTAAATCCAGAAGCAGTGAAGACGACGGGGGTATAACCTTATGTGTTGTTGGCATTGAAGACCGAAACAAGAAAGTTATTCTAAACCAATGGTGCTGCCACAAAGCTATTGCTATCTTGGGATGCTTATCAACTATTTGTGAGAAGCAAAGCATATTTATAAGGTCATCTGAATGGAATCTGTTGCTTTCCGCATTAATATTATTCTGTCATGGATGGAATTCACCCGGAACAGCCGCCTCCACACTCCATCATAAACATATTAATCACCCTCCCTTTTTTTTAGCATTGCTCATGGCGGCCATGGCCCGAGACTTGAAAAAATTTTCCTTTATACTTTATATCCTTATCATTTTTCCCATTAAGTATTGGTGCTAATTAAATATTTTTATTAAGAATTTCTTTCTTTCTTATATTGAATATTACCGATCATTAATTTTACATCAAACATTAATATTAATTATATCTTCTCATCAAAAATTTATTGCCCCACATTTCACTGCACCTATAATTCACATTCTCAATATCAATTAACCATTTTCACTATATTAAAAAATTAAACTCTTTTGCAAAAACATATATTGCTTAGGAAGTCTTTGTTGATCAGTCGATGATACCAGTAACCATGTTTTATACATATATTGGTTAGGCAGCGACTCTGATTCTTTATACTTCCTGAGGCATCTTGGATCCTCGGTGTGCTTATAGGTCATGCAGTAAAGCCAAATGCTTAATGATGTTGTATGTGCTATTGATTGATATGTTCACCAAGTGTGGCAGATTAAGAGATGCATGGATGCTGTCTGAAGAAATACCAATGAAAGAGCTTCCATAAATGAATTTCGTGGCATTGGACCCCCCTCCCTTCCTTTTTATTGTTGAGAGAAGAGTGTCCCCTGGTCCTTTCACAATCTGATTTCTTGACTTGATAGGTCTTTTCCTGTTCTTTCTTCGCCGGAAGCCCAATTGTTCTTTAATTTATTGCTTCGTTGCTGACTTGCCGCGACCCCTCAAAATTTGCATAGAAAGAGGTGACTCGGGGGGAAATGGCTAACAATCAGGTATATTATCCCCGGGGGGGGGGGGAATCGGAGTATAAAAAAAAATGTTCCCTAAAAAAAAAAAACAAGAGAGAAGGTTATGTTTACAAGTTATCCAGATCACTCAACATTTTAGGTTAGTCCAGATTTAAATTTAATACAGAAAATGGAACAATAAAACTTTAGTCGGATGTTGAATCTAATAACAGTGGTCCTAACAATCTAATGACATCTAAAGGCCCCGCTCACTTTCGGATAATGTTCCTCACTTGCAAGCATATGGACAATGATCACGCCTTGCTTCTTTCTTCTTTTCTTTTTGTCCCCCGGTATTCACTATTCACATCGCTTTAAAATATCATCTTTCAAGCACATCGCTGTAATGTGCTTCAGTTGGATTAATTTTCCCCTTGCCGACTGCAATTAAGCAGGTAGAGTAAAATCATTAATACAAGCTCCATCAGTAACAACCAATTAACATCTCCTGGTTATAAAATATTTTAATCCTCTATGTGTAATAATTCAATTCAATGTAAGAGTAATAAAAAAATCTAATCAATTTATTATGTCTGTAATTTTTTGTTCATTTGTTTATCATTTTCTTGAAATGCACACAGATCTTCAAAAAAATGATGCCTATACAACGCAGGATTTTTTTCAAAAAGAATTCAATTGATCCCTAGATTTTATTTAAACACACGTACGTACAGTATCATTTAAAAAAAAAATCTCCATTTGCAGCCCATGCGATTGAACAAAAGAACTGGACAGCTTTCATTAGGATGTTAAAAACTACTACCCTAAATATTCACAGAGGATTTTTTTTTTTAACTCATTCAAACTAGACGAGAATTAAAAGTTGCTAATTTTACGTAATTGTTATTAGTGCCAAGACAACATGGGTAAAGCCAGGGTGTCCAGTTTATTTATCATCTCTCGGCAAAGTTCAAGTGTTTGATGACGGGGCTATTCGCACGCCTCCGTGCCATTAGTCTTGCGGAACCCAACAGCGTGTTAGAGTGAACTAGTACAGTTATGATCGCAGAATCAAGCAAATAATTATCGACTAACCACCGACTCATTCAGATAAAAAGTAAGGCAATGCAATAAAAACCTTACAAATAAAACATGCAAGTTAGAAAACTTGCCTCCTGGATAGCTGTGATTTTCGTTTGAGCATCGCTGAGTTGGATCTCCACTCCTTTTTCAACTTGCGACAGAAGCTTTCTATGCGATGCCCCTGTATACAACATTTAGTCAAAAGATGACCACATCCCACTGGAGTGCTGGTGTTTCTCTAGTTTTTCTTAATAAACTTGTTTTTCTTAATAAACTAAACCTGAGACCTCTACCCTACACTTCTCTTGTACTACCAAGTGGCTGCTGATTAAATTGTCGAAGTTCCAAGTGAATCAGTATAGCTCTAAATTTATAAGTCACAAGCAATATAACTTACTTTTCAGACTCTGTGTAATATATTTCCCAAGATAGCATATCTATTCGTTTCTTACAGACCAAAACCCAAAATAGCAAGGACATGCTACCCATGAACTACAGCGCAACGGTCGACCGGATTCACCCACTTTTAGCCAAAGGTATAAAACACACGAATTCACACTTCTAGCAGTTATTCAAGTTTCACTCCCAACTACTTAGTAATAATAGGTCAAAATAGACCCTTTCAAAATCTAGGAAAACAAAAATCAATGGAATACAGATTAGAGATACATATCCAAAAGACAAAGGGTTTCCATATATACTTTGTTTTTCCAGGGCTCCCTTGATCTCTATCCGTTCTGCTTCCAGACCTTCAATAGCGCTTCTGCAGTCCTGGATATACAGACTAATCTCTTCTTTGAATTTTTCGTGAATCAACCACAGCTGTTTCTGCTGATCTACATTTTTAGCGGGTGGAGGAAATGAGGAAAAAAATAAATATAAAAAAAAATATCCCCCCCCCTCGGGGTGGGGTGGGGGGTAACTTCACGACCACTGCTTCAAAAAATGGGAAATATGTATCCCCTTAATTCATGCGCTATAAAGGAAAATAAGGAAAAACATTAGACACAAAATGCAGTGGTTTAGACCCTATATAGGATACGTAACATACTCAACAGAGTAAAATCCCAGAGTATGCATACCATGACAGCCTCAATAGTCAATACCATGCATGTTCTTTTGAAATTAAGTACTTCATATCAAAACAGATTTATTTGATTGTCACAACTTTTAAACAGTTTGTACCCTATCAACTTCTTATAATCTCCGGCAGAGTAAGGATGTACCTTAAAACCATGAAAGAAAAAAGGACTGCAACTACGATTATGCTGACCTTTTACATGCAATCAAAGAGGATATGAAAACAACACCCTAGAGAAAGAATTTCATGGCCAAAATGGATTACAAAGTGTTATGTTACCATTACTACTAGATCTGAACTTTGATTTACGAACTAGAAAGAGGAAAGTTATATCCAAAAGTTAGATATTTGAAATATATAAACATGATTATCAATCAAGTAATCATCCAGGCAAACATTTTCTTTTCTTTTTTTTTACCTTCAAATCTTGTCTCCAACCGTTTTCTCTTTGACTCGAAGAGATTTGTATGTTTCTCGCTGAAACATTTTAAAAAAGGTACGGTAAAACCATTTAATATCTCAAAGCTTGAAACTCCATGCTCTTGCACACTTACACGTCGTCTTCAATCTGGAAATGAACATTCTTCAGCTGCAGTTTCATGTCTTCGGCAACAGATGTTAGAATTTCTGAGGATTTCCTACTTGCCACTGACTTAATTTTGCTCTTTAGCTTTCCTAATTCCAAGGCAAACAGTTCAACAGCCCTAAAAAATTGTCAAGAATCACGCCAATTGAAGATTGTGCCGATGAGTAGCATTTCTATTTCATATGGCTCATCAATCAATTCTTAGTGGATTAAAAGAGGAAACACCTTACAAATCCATCTTGAGTGTGCTCAGAAGCTTCAGGGATCGAATCATTTTCTCCTGCCCCTGTCATTTATATGGAAACGAGAATAAGTTGCATGATAAAGATAACAGATATCAGAGTAACATATTAAATATGAGCAAAAATATCATGACAAAGTGATATTATGCCTTTCGAAGAGAGTGAAGGAGGACTATTGTCGTTGAATTTGACTCCTTCATGACTACGCAGCCTTTTATTTGAATGAAGCATAGAAGTTTCCTGCGCATCAGAAGCATGTCTGTCTCTCAAACCTAAAATGACATAATTAGATACTTAGTTGCTCTGACTTGAAAGAACCGACAGAAAAAAAGATACATATAATCTAATGATACAGATAATGCAGCTCAAGTCGAACCAACAAGTATATATATACCCTCTCTCTTCTTGAGAAACCTTCTCTCTTCGAATGATGAATCAGTTAAGCGCTCCTGTGCATCTTTCCCTTTCACAAAAAATGCCGCTTCTGTAGGAAGAGAACTCTTGAGCTCATCCACGTTCTAAAGTTAGATAAGGAACCTCAGAAACACAATACAACAGCTTCAAGTTCGGAGGACATAACAGTATCAAAATGAAACCCTTTGAGGAATAAGGATACAGAACACTGCTTCTGTGCACATTGTCTGTCACAGTCTCGCTCCAAGGTCTGGAAAGTCCTTAAATTACGAATAATTCCCAGAGAAAATGTCCTCTCCATTAATGTTGAGCAATCGACACCGTTTACCTGCTTGCTCGTTTTTGGAGTTGAGCCCGGCGAAGAACTTAATGTAGGTGTCTTAAGTCCAAACGTAGGACTTTGAAAAGTATCTTTTGGATCAGCAGCATCCTCGGCAACTGGACTACTATGCTCCTGTTGGTTTCCATTTGCTGATCCCTCGAGTCCTTCATGTTTGTCTATTATTTTTGTTATTGGTGACTGGCACAATTCTTTTTCTGGGATTATTTTCCGAGTCTGAGGATAATCTTTGTGATGATCGGGTGAGAAACTACGAAATCGTCCCATTTTTTCCCTAAGCGAAGATGCTTCCTCATCACACAGTTGTTCATCAGCCTTTGAAGTTTCTTTACAAAATTTATCTGCTGCTTCATTTTGTTTGGCGCAATTTTGACGTGCATTCTGTCTTTGATCCTTTTCACTCAAAGGAATTTGGGAAACCCCATGCAGATAAACGGTTTGCCTCCGAGTCCACTGTTCACTGGGAGAGAAAATTCCTTTTGCTTGTTGCTTCTTTTTGCCTCTCGGAGACGGAGCACTCTTTGTTTTTGGAGGTTGCATTTTAGCTGACGCTCTCTTTCGGCTCAAAGAACGCGTTGCAGGTCTCTTATTAGTATGATCAGGATTTTCAGAATCGGTTTCTATTGTATCCGACTGCTGTCTGGTCTTAACAAATTTATCATCCCCCTGATCAAAACGCTGCCCGGGCAGCACGATCTCCTCATCCATGTTAGAGGTCTTAGAACCTGAGCGCCTAGTCTTGGGAGAAGAAGTGGTTCCCAATATTTCCCAAAGCTTCATCTTCAAATCTTCTGTTCTCTTTTCGGTTTTTCTGTCGTCTGGCTTGGTTTTGTCAGACTTGATCACTTCGCGTGCCGTGTTGAACGTAAACTCATCCTCTACCGTACCAGTGGTTCTTTCCTTCCTTCCCTTTCTTTTGCTGGTCGTCCCATCAAATTTCTTCTGGTTAAGATCATTGGAATGAAAAATTGAAGTATCAACCTCATCAGGTTTGTCCTGTTTCCTAGTAAAGACTAGTAAATTGGAGGCTTGGTTTGTTTGAAGAATGGTCTCAAAATTGGGTGTTCTTTGGTAAAAGGATTTAGTGATTCGAGAACACTTCACCTCTTCTGGAACAATTGGCTTCATGTTAAAGGAAGCTGTCGTTCCTTCTACCTTGCCTTTCTCACCATTGAAATTTCCGACGTTAGAGATTACCTTTTCCGTATTGGTCATATTAACCTCATTTCCTTTCGTGGCTTCATGTCTTGTTGTGGCCACAGAATTTACCATTACTCCTATGGAGACTTTCCTGGATTGGCTAGATGGACATATGTTGCTGCCAAAACTTCGGCAATCACCGGTTTGCCCCTGAATATGCAGTTTAAATTCATGAATCCATGATATTGCTTCTCTGGAGAAGTTAAAATAACCAGAGCTCATATGAGAAATTGATTGTTGTATTGATGCTAAAGATAATAAAAGCCCACTCCAATCTTTTTACGTCAAACTATTGTGAATGCTTAACTGGCAGTTGAATAAGAATTCCAGATAGGATATACAAGAACTACTGCGTTCGCAGCGATCAATAAACCTGACCACTTATTATCTTCAAGGATGAAATTTTACGAAGCTTGACAATAGTTATTATGGTCAGATCCTTATTCTTATACATATTCAGGAAGCAAGGGGGAAAATAAAATTAAAAAAATAAAAGCTCCTGAGGATGAATTACACTTCTTACTTCATGCAAATTCTGATGCGCTTCGACATCCATCGTTGCAGTTTCGGCTATGATGGCGTACAAGCACGAGCACCATTAACAGACCTGAAACATTCGATTTTAATACGAAAAAGATAAGGAAGTAATAGTAAAAAACTGCATGAGCTTAGTTTTGGTTGTTGAGAAAGAAGGCGAGTAAATTCAAAATTTGTGACCCCGGTCAGCAAGGCCTCCATAGGAGAAATTCAAAAATTAGAGAATCGTATGCCATTAATCCAGCGGTCTGATGAAGCTGAATTGTCAGCCGACTGACAATCCAATAGAACCGGGATCGGAAGTTTCTTCTCATCCTTTCTCTAACAACCAAACAAGCTGTGAATGATAATCGAAGTATAAAAATGTGCACCCACAGATGCTCGAGAAAACGAAAAACAGAAATTCATGCGCATGAAAATAAGGACAAGCTTTCAGGTTAACTTCATATACAACGAAATATCAAGCACCCTGAAATCAAATCCACAGGAACGAGAAATTCAAAAATTCAGAAACGACGCCGGAAAGTTATGACGACGCGGATTTTAGTTAAACATCGTGAAATAATGCTGCGAATAAAATCTAAATTTGATTTCAAATCATACAAAGAGAAATTGCCAAGTGAAAGGGAGAATAGTGAACGATTTCAAAGAAAATATACTCAGTGTTACTCCGCCCTGATCACTGGAAATCTTCACTTTGGAATTCGAAATTTGGATTCAACGAACCGCGTAATATCAAAAGGCCGTGGAAGTGGAAGAGGGAATGAACTAACAAATGCATGCAATTGAGGGGTAGCCAAATGTTAGTTGCAATGTTACTGATATGCAAAGTAAAGAAAAGCGGGAAAATTATGTGGGCGTTCCGCATGACTTCTGCCAATGCGTGGACTACAATGCCCTTGCGTTATTTCTTTTTAAAAAAAAAAACTATTTATAAGTCTTTTTAAAAAAATAAAAATTAAAATATATATTTAATTCTTTAATTTTATATAAAATTTTAATTTAATCTTTTAATTTTATAAAATATTTTTTAATCCTTTAATCTTAATATAATTAGTTTTAAATAATTATTTTTATGTTAATTATTACTATTTTAAAAAATTAAATTTAATATGTCAATGTTTGATGATATTTTATCATCATTTAAAAGTATAATGTTAAAATTTATTGAAATAAAACTAATAGTATTAAAGTTAAATGATTAAAAAAATATTTTATAAAATTAAGAGATTAAAATAAAATATTATATAAAATTAAAGAATTAAGTGTATACTTTAACAAAAAAAATTAATCATTAATCACAATAATTTATTACAATAACTAGCTCTTTTATTTATGAGTCAGCTTTCTCTCTGCTAACTCCCCCACCTCTGCTGAGGTGGGCAAGATAGGAGCATGATCTAATCCAAATTTAATTTGATAATTAAGATTTAATGATTTTTTTGTCTTGCTTAATAAAATAAAAATAATAACATTTAAATTTGAATAGTTCAAACTCTGTCTCACCCCAATGGAAGCACGAGATGAGAGGAATTAGCTTCTCCCCACTAACTTATTTAAACCGGTATAGCTGGCAAGTGGTAATACTAGCACCTCTATAAAAGTACTAACGCTATCAAGAACTTTTTGATTTAGGGGCATCGCGTGCTCATTTTTAAAAAATAGTTGTAAATTCTATCTGTTGGTGGTTTAGGGAAAATATTAGGTATGCATGCTATGAATGTATGGTTACATGCGTACGGACTCTCCTATCTGGCAGTGGGGGGTTAGTTATGATAGTTGGGAAAAAAAAAAAAAAAACTAACGCCATCAGATAAATTTAATTAAAAAAAAACTCTTCAGATGCATTTAAATTCAGTTTTTTATACCTTTTATTTTTGGCCAAAGGTTAACTGACACCTTGTTTTAAAATATACTTTGCTAATCTTTGATTATACAGAACCATTGTTGAGATTCTCAGGGTCAGTAAATTCTCATAGATGTCCGTAAAGAATTTTAGAATTGTTGATACTAATTTTAAAGTTTCTCGATGCATTTGCTTGCTGGTTATTATTATTCAGCCAAAAAAATGAGAGAATGACAATTAGACTCTGAATGAATGAATTATTAACAATTAGGCCTCTGACAAAATTTTTTACAAAATGCATTATAAATATTAATTTAAAGAGTCATAAATAAATTTTTTTTGTTGCAATTTAAATGTTATATTTAAATATTTATTTGCAATTGAAACTCTTAAATTTATAATAATTTAAATTGTTATTTTTAACTTATTTTCAAAAACATTTGTTGAGAATTTAACTATCGTTTAATTCAATATTTTAAAACTTAACTATCATTCTCAAAAAGAAAAGAATCCCTTATCCAGAGAAAGTTAAAGTCTCAAATCTTAAAGTATAGATAGTATTCTAAAATGATTGCCGTGGAATTTTAGTTTTTTTAAAAGTTAAAACATTACTCTCAACTCTTAATATTTAAATATCTTAAAATTTTGTTGAAAAAATATCTTAAAATTTTAAGTTAAATTATTTTTCAAAATATTGAGGATTTTTTTTCACTTTATTGATTAAAACCAGCGTTCACTTTGATGTATTCTTTTCAGTCACATGAAAATTACACGTGAAAGCTGTAACACTGATCAATACTTGTAAAATCAAATAAACCACTAAGTACATTCATCATTTAATCCTTTCATATTATGAAATATCTCTCAACAAACTACGTTTAATGTAATTCTTATACAATTATTATTGCTGTCATGCAGAAGTGTCTTTAATCCATCAATTGATTTAATCTTTGATAGTTCTACACAATGTTGTTCATGCGTGAAAATTGGCTTCAAAGTTATTTTCTTTGTATAACACTGATTCAAGCTTTCTAAAATTGCATCAAACAATTCAATAAATTGAGATTGATGTAAACGGTAGCAATGCTCATTCATAAATAACCAGCTGATATGGGAATTCCAAATACCCATGATGAAATGACCATAGTTAAAAGGATTCGGGCTTTACCTTTCTATCGATCAGAAATGTTTCTAATAATAAACTTTAGGTGTATCATCATTTCTATTTCTTATTTATTTATTTTGAGTGGAAACTGCATATTTCATTTTTCAGAAAATTATGTACAGGTTCCGTATAAGAAACTTATCTACAAATGAGTCCTATAAAATTCAAAAACTACAACTAAATATCTTAAAATCTAAGTGTAATGAGGTGTAAAGACAATATTATCCTTGTTAAAATGCATCAAATTATATCTAAAAAAAGGTGCATTCATATTTATAGAACACTAAATATAGTGTAAATAAATAATTTTACCTATAAGTTTTAAAGTCACAATTGTAAGTAAAGGAAAAAAATAACTTTAGTCTATTATTTATAAAATATAAAATATAACTTGTGAACTAATAATTTTTATTTGTAAATGGTGACATTGTGGTTATAAATAAAGGGTAAACATAATTTCAATCTATTATTTATAAACACAAATTATGGCTTGTGAATTTAAAATATTCACTTGTAAACTATGAAATTATAGTTGAAGGTGAAGAGAAAATATGACTTTAGTTTATTATTTATAAAGGACAAAATATAATTTGTGAATTAAAAATTTTTAATTGTAAATTGTGAGGTTACAGTTATAAGTGAAAGGTAAATATAGCTTTAATCAATTATTTATAAAATATGAAATATTATTTGTGGGTTAATAATTTATATTTATAAACTGTGAAGTTGAATTTTTAGGTGAAGGGTGAATATGATTTTAATTTATTAGTTTTTCTTTTGTTTTAGTAAATTGGGGGATATAAAGATCTTTTCACCTAAAATTTTAATTACATTATCTATATAACAAAATTCTAATGAACTTAGCTTTATTTTTCCAAATTTGCAAGATCTATTTATATGCAGGTCCCTCCTAAGGGTTCTATACCGAATTTTTCTTCTTTTATTTCCATTTTCACCGAGGCATATTCCATTGATATACAAGCATAGCGTACCGTAACAATTGGCAGCCAAATATCAAACATGCCATGTTAACTAGGATTGGTTTTTTATTATAACCAGGCATGTAAAAAGCTTTGGGGATGACTTGTATCTCGCCTAAATTGTGAAGTGTGAATTGTGAAATTTTTTTAATAAATTTCACCATATCAATCAATTGTGCAACCTATAAAAAAAGGATAATAAAATTTTCTCAAATTATATAAATAATAATTTAGTGTCTTAAAATGTCATAATTTAACTGAAATTTTTAAAGACCTTTATGTCAATAAATTTTAAATTAAAAAATTATTTTATTTTTATTGATAAGTTATATTTTTTATTTAATTCTTACGATTTTATAGCTGTCAATTAGAATCAGCCTGACTCTAAATGACCAATGCTTAAACAAGCTAACCTATTGAATTCTAAGGCTTCATTTTGATCAGCCCGACACTAGCTCAGGATTGAAGGCTGGCCCTTAGTGCCTTGGCCTTATATATATATTTTTTTATTTTTCAATTTAAGAATCTAAAAAAATATATTTAGAATATCAAAAAAGTTATTACACATAAAATTAAATTTAAAAAAACAAATTTAAGTCAATACATATCATAACAAATTCAAATCTAATAAAAAACAATAACATCATAAAATCAACACCGATAACAATCAGACCTTACTAGTATCATCAGCTAAATTTTGATGATTTTCATTGTTATCAACATCAATATAATTTCATCATGCTCTTTGCGAAACCTCATAAGTGAAAAAAATATTAAGTTTTTCATATACTCTTTCTTCATGCTTGTAAAATGAGGTTAGAATTTTAGAATTAGTGTATAATCTTTTTAATATTAAAACTTAAAAACATATAAAAAGATTTAAAAGGGCCAGCTTTAGCCCTAAAGGTAAACCCTTTTATTTCAAGGCTTAAAAGGGACCTTTTTAAGCTCGATTTATTATTTTATACTCTAAACTAGCGGCTCAGTCTTGAATCTGTTAGACTTAAAATGGCTAGCCCGAGGGACTTAGCCCTAATTGACAACAATGATTATTTAAATACAAGCTATTATTTAGTAAATAAAATTTGTGAATAGAAATCATACTCGACAAGTTGTGATTTTCTTATTTCACTCTTATAATTTACAGAACAAAAATTACTATTTATTAAGCAAAAGTTGTAATTGAAGGGTTTGTTTTTCAATAACAAAAATTATATAATAAGTTATAATTTTTTATTCAACTTCTATAATTTATAGAATAAAAATTATTATTTCTCAAATAAAAGTTGTGATTGAAACTTATTATTTTTAATAAAAATAATTTTTTATTTTAAAATTTATCAACACAAAAGTTTTTAAAAATTTAAATAAAATTATAATATTTTAAAAAATAATTTATTATTATTTATATAATTTAAAGAGATATGTTGTCATTTTTTTATTTATAAATCAGAAAAATGCAGCGTTTTTTTTTTAAAAAAGGTTTTTAAAAATTATACGAGACGACAAAAATGTTTCATTGGCACCTGGTATGTTGATATGTTGATTGATAGATTGCTGCTGCAAACGAGGATTTATTTCTTCTTGAAGATAACGAAGTGGATCGTCATACTCTCTCCACCGTGTGCGCCATCGGCATGGCTACCGTAACCGACCTCCCTTCATTGTCACCAACCCCATCCCTTCTTTGTTCAACCCCGTCGTCCATTAGTTCTCGAACCTGTTCCATCCGCCCAATCATCCCCTTTCCATCGCGTTCTCCTTCCAATCGGAGAATTGCTTGCATTCGCCCTCACGTGCGGTGCTCAATTGCAGAGGGGTCCACAGTACCTCCAGCAAAAACTAGTGGCCAACTCAATTCCGTCGGTGAAGACCCTACGTCCGTGGATTGCGTGATCGTTGGCGGCGGTATCAGTGGCCTCTGTATTGCCCAGGCCCTTTTCACAAAGCATGTCAATGCCGCCGCAAATGTGATAGTCACTGAGGCCAGAGACCGGGTTGGCGGTAACATTACGACTATTGAGAGGGATGGCTATCTTTGGGAGGAGGGTCCTAACAGTTTTCAGCCCTCTGATCCTATGCTTACCATGGTGGTTGGTACCTTTTAATTTTTATTTCAAGGTTTTCTTCCCCATTTTGTCATTCTATTTTCTTAGAATTGGGTTTCATTAGTGAGGTGAATAACTGTTTTGTAAGCTCAACGTTGTTATTGACTTGAACTAATTATCATCGATTCCATTAGCATTCTCTGAATAGCTTTTTGACAATGAAGTGGTAAATGCGCAAGGGAATCTCGCTTCCGAAGGGATTACTTTTATATACTTGTAGTATTACTATATAGTAGATCGACATTCATGGAACTTCGTTATGATTAGGTGTCGTAATTCTATGTCGCTGGTTCTATTTTCCATTCCATCCTTTTGCATTTGGCAGGTGGACAGTGGGTTAAAGGATGACCTTGTTCTCGGTGATCCCAATGCGCCTCGATTTGTGTTATGGAATGGAAAATTGAGGCCGGTACCATCAAAGCCAACTGATTTACCTTTCTTTGACCTGATGACCATTGGCGGCAAACTGAGAGCAGGCTTTGGGGCACTAGGCCTTCGGCCACCTCCACCAGTGTGTTCTCTTGAACTCTTTCTTTGTTTAATCCTGTCATGTCAAATGCATATCCAGAAGGATTGAAGACACGGGTTTTAATTTGAGTTTCTCATATGTATCATAATACTGACGAAGGTGACAGGGTCGTGAGGAATCAGTTGAAGAATTTGTGCGCCGTAACCTTGGTGATGAGGTTTTTGAACGTTTGATAGAGCCTTTCTGTTCAGGTGAGAGCCAACAAATTAAGATTCTTTATGATTAACTGGTTTTTATCTCTTTCTGCATTCATCAGTTCTCCATTTTGAAAGTTACACGAATAATAATGTTTGATAGGAGTTTATTGGACCCTATGATACCCAGCCCTGTTCTCGCTTGCGACATGTGATCTCTTGCTTCTTCAGCTTAGTGTTATGGATTCCTTAAAGGATTTTTTGCAAACCCATGCTCTCACGCTAAGTTTGAAATGTGAAAAATGTTTAGATAAAAGAATTTCCTAGTTGAAAATTTTTGTTTAGGGATTTCGCCCTTTAATTCCTGGGTATGTTTCTGTATTCATAAAGTATTAAAAAATTAAGCAGCTTGGTTTGTCTTCATTCTTCATTATCAGCCTGGTTAATGAGCAGTAAACTACATTATGACATTAAACAGTGTGCATGATTTTCTTGTTTGTTTGAGTTTGTTGGGGCTATGGATTTGTGGGATGCATTTGTCAGCCAGAAAGTCAGTTTTCTTAAGTATTTGTAATTGTCTATTGCTGTAATTTTACAATGTTGAGACTTGATTGCATACTTTACCTTCTTTTGAAGTTAATTGCTGACAAGTTTACTTCAGCTAACTTTTCTCACTCAATATGAAATTCAATTTTTCAATTTATGTTTGCTTTGGTTATTCATTTGTAAATCCTATGGGCTATGGCTCACCTGAGCTTTATCTTATTCAGGTGTCTATGCGGGTGATCCTTCAAAATTAAGTATGAAAGCAGCATTTGGAAAAGTTTGGAGGCTGGAGCAAAATGGGGGTAGCATAATCGGTGGCACTTTCAAAACATTACAGGAGAGGAATAATTCTCCAAAACCACCTCGTGACCCGTAATGATATATTTACCCTAGAGCTTGTCAAATTTTCTTTTATTTTATCTCCTGTTTCCTGTATTTATGTAATATGCAGACGTCTTCCAAAACCGAAGGGTCAAACTGTTGGGTCTTTTCGAAAGGGACTTAGCATGTTGCCAAAAGCAATTTCTGCAAGGTACTCTATGTTAACTTAATTTATATTTGGCTGGATTGCCATTTTATTCAGGATTGATGATCATATCGAATTTCATTTCTTTTGGCAGGTTGGGTGACAGAGTGAAGTTATCTTGGAAGCTTTCAAGCATTAGTAAACTTGACAGTGGAGAGTACAGTTTGACATATGAAACGCCGGAAGGAATGGTTTCCGTGCAAAGTAAAACTGTTGTCCTGACCATTCCATCCTATGTTGCCAGTACACTGCTACGTCCTTTATCTGTATGTTTCTTTCCTAAGTGAGGTTTATGTCAATTATTATAAAATATAAACTATTTTGTTGGCGGAAACTTTGAACTGAAACAGTATGATACCTTGAATATTAGGAATGCATTTGTATATGGGTGGGTTTGGGTGCATGAGTTCCCAATATTCATGTTATTTGGGTTCTATATCTATCTTGTCTGGAAATACAATCTTTCAATGCCAGCCATTCTTTGTTTGATTTCATGTTTAACAGGAGAGAAGTGGTATAATTTTACTAATATGGATATTGAGGGAAAAAATTAATGATTACAAAATTCTAAGTTTTTCAAACACGTCTTATGACTATATTGTATATTCAAAATAGTGTGCGCGTTTCACACAAATGCATGCAAAGTGGCAAAACATCTTTCCTTCAGTGTGATTGGGAAATAATATCTGCAGTTATGGCTATGTTAATTAGTAATAACTACTCAGCTGAGTTAGGGAATGACCAATGAGCCCATCTAATGGTTGGTTAGTTGATAAAAGTTTCTCTCTCTCTCTCTCTCTCTCTCTGTGTACGCCCACACACACTCTCCCTCCGATCTTATATGTGGGAGTTAGATAACCAATTCATATAGATTAAGACAATTGGTTAAGGCTTGTTATTGTTGTTGATTATCATTTGTAAAAAATGTGTGTTGGTTTCTTTAGAAATACCCCTCTTTTTTATCATTTACATTGGAAACTGTCCCTATTGATTGCAGCGTACATTAATGTATGTAATCATTAGGGATATTTTGAGGCGAAATGTGAGGAAGCTCCTCACCTAGCTCCTAAATTTAGGACTGGAGCGAGTAATATTCTTCTTTTTCTTTCATAACGCAGGGAAGCATGAAGAAAGTAGTATATGAGTATCAAAGTTTTTTAATACACATTTTTATGCATGTCTGTGCATTATCACTAAATTTGCCCCCTCCTTTTTTCTAAAAAGTATTTACCCTCACATGCAGACTACTGCTGCTGATGCGCTTTCAAAGTTTTATTATCCTCCTGTTGCTGCAGTATCCATATCCTATCCTAAAGAAGCTATTCGAACGGAATGCTTAATAGATGGTGAACTGAAGGGGTTTGGGCAGTTGCATCCACGGACTCAAGGAGTGGAGACATTAGGTAAACTTATATAGTCAATGGACTATATGGTAAAAGCAAAGGTGTATGATTTTCCAAGGCCAAAGAGCCCTTGAACAATTCGAATCAAAAATAAATAGAAACATATTTCCAATAAAGGGAACCCATGGGCCATATTCTTCTCCAATCTAAGTTTTGCTCACGTCAATGAATTCAAGGACATATTGCATCTAGTCAAGTTTGACAATGAGGAAACTAAACCATTTTTTAATTTTTAAGGAACTATATACAGCTCATCACTCTTTCCTAACCGAGCTCCTCCTGGACGGATTCTACTCCTGAATTACATTGGAGGGGCCACAAATCCTGGAATCTTATCAAAGGTTTGATAACTCTTGAATGAAACCCGAATATTTGTTGGGATAGATGCAATTATATGAACTGTTATTTTGGCAAATTTGGTGATTCCCTATGTCGTTTTAATGTTCATGTTGAAAGTTGAAACCATTGGTGGTCCTTGGTGCTGGCATAATCTCTGATTTGACTAGATGTTGACAATTATAAACGATTCTGTGATTACTAGATTTGCTACTATCCCCTCCTATTTGCTCACAAAGCACTTTCTTTTCCCCAGACGGCTGATGCTCTTGTGGAAGCAGTTGACCGAGATTTGAGAAAAATCCTTATAAACCCAAATGCAAAGGACCCGCTTGTATTGGGCGTGAGATTGTGGCCTCAAGCTATTCCACAATTCTTAATTGGCCATTTTGATCTCTTAGATGCTGCTAATGGTGCTCTGAAAAATACTGGGCATGAAGGGCTGTTTCTTGGGGGCAACTACGTGTCTGGGGTTGCCTTGGGACGATGTGTTGAGGGAGCTTATGAGGTAGCCGCCGAAGTAAATGATTTCCTATCGCAGAAAGTGTACAAGTAGGGGCAAATTTTGTTGAGTTGTAGGAACTGGGTAGGACCCGTATATCATTGCATAGTGATGATAAAGTTTCGCTGACTTGTCACATAAGATTTGAATTTTGGTGGCTTCTGGTGCGGATCCCATTTATATTATTCTCGTAATGTTGTAATAAATAAGGTTATCCCTTTGCCACTATTCTAATACGGATCTTTTATATTCACCAGATAAACACTCATCGCATGATTAAAAGTGTAGAGCTAGAACCATTATTTGAAGTATAGTTTCTAGTGCATTCCCGCGTCCGTTTCGCACTCTGTCGTTCGCCCTTAGCAGGATTTGTAGATTTTAAACCTATCATATGACGTAATCTCGTGAATTGGATAGCTTGAAGGATTTTCACTTTGTCTATTCCATAGAAATTTTTATTTATTAATTTTCACGTGCTTTGCTCGCTGCTTTAATCCCTGCACTAGGCGGTGTCCCATTATTAAGCTTTGAGCTGAGACGCTACGACGGCTAAAAGTCTGGTCTCAGAGGGTAAACAATAACCCCTGGAAATACGTAGAGGCAAGGGAACGAACGCGGTGAGTTGGAGATAGGAAGGTGAAGGAGCCCAAACTGGGAGAGCGAAATGTTACGAAGAGATTTTGGGGAAAAATCTCGAGGCAAGTAATGAATGAGGGAAAATCCCCCAACCCCCGGGGGGGAACCTTCAAGGAATGTTAGAGGGGAGATTTCAAGAGTGCGTATCTAGAAAGTTTGACTAAGGAATGGAATTCAAAATGGCAAAGGCGCAGGCAATGATGACGGGGTTGGGCATGCAATGAAAATACCAGCTGGTTAAAACAGGGAATGACAAAGAAATGAGAAGATTTGGTCTTAAAATAGCGAGACACATCTAGTGGGCCTATTGGCGAAAAAGCGCTCGAGGGTTTCCCCTCTGCTTTTCTTAAGCCTCAACACAAATACTGTGCTGGCGACCAAATGACAAATTGATGGCTAATCGAAGCAACCTTACGGTTGGGGTGGTGGGGAACATTTCTCCTTTTTCTTTTTCTCCCTCTTTTGAAAATTATATTCCCACCTCTTCCCCTCCCTCCATTTTACCATCCCTTTAGCCCCAAGCAAATACCTTCCCGTGAACCAACACTGGAATTAATTTCAGCCTGTGAACCGGGGCGAACCATATCCCCTTCGGCACGTGAATTTATACACGTGGGGCGCGAGATCTTGAACGGAGAAGGATTCACCAATATTATATTATCCACTTTGTGCCTTTTCTTTGTATCGTTAATGGAGCTGGGGCATCGCTTTTTTCACCGTTTAAAAAAGCCATTTCCAGATTCATTCTTGTCACGTTTATCAACGATCTATTTTACTCCGCCTTTTTGTTCCTCTTATTTATTACAACTAAATCGCTTTTGATTATTCCTGCCCCTGCACTGAAAATTACTCGCTTTATGCCCGGCATCAAAAAGAAAAAGAAAACGATGCCAGTGAGCTGTGTCTGGCTGATTCTTGAAGCAGGACACCTGTCAAGTCGCGAATATGGTTCCCTCGAGCTGTAATAAATCGATGCAACTCCCCTTCATGAGTGTGTTTTAGATGCGGTTGATGGGTTTCGAAGTGTTGGCAGAAGAGGTTTTATCTCAAGAAGTACATCAATTATGTTTCTTGGTATAGAGGAGGAATATGCGTAGCGTCACCAGTACCGATGCCTTTTCTTTTCATGTATAATAATATAAAATACTAGTATCTGCCCCCAAGGCCCCTCATGCGCAACGCAACACGATGATTATATCCATTGAACATTGATTCATTAGATTACATCTGCGTACAAGGTTTCAGATATCAATGTTCTTTTGTCCGCCTGAGTTTCCCCTCATTCTTTGTCCACAGTCCACATTCATTCCTATCCCACTCACTCAGTGTTACCTCCTACACGCCTTGTCTCTCATCTGTCTCTACCCCTCTCGCTGTCAACTTTGCCTTCCTTGCTTCACCAATTACCGCTTCCTGTATCTTTATTTCTCAACTTCAGGAACTAATGACACCATTTAATTTTCACAGTTAGATTTGTCACGGAACTAAACGATGTTGTTTTTTAAATGACACGTGTAGTTGTCGGCTACCATGGCAACATTTTAGGTCTACCAATGACATGGAAGGAAGATAAAGAGGGAGGCGGGGAACGCGGCTCTTGAGGAAGTCTTTTTCACAGATCTCCCCCCCCCCTCTTTTGTCTCTCTTCGAGGCTGACTCTTTATTTAAAGCCTTAAGGTGGCGGCTTCTTGAGTCACTTTATTATTCCACAAATGGGGAAAGCCTCTAGCTCTTCGTCTTCCTCTATCAGCAGCAGCAACCACCCACTCATCTCAACTGCTTCATCTCTCACCCGCCTCCACAACTCTGACCTTCCCACAGATCTCAGGCTCGGTCTCAGCATTTCAGCCACTCAACATGTTGGCTCTTCTGTTTCAAGGTATGTGATATTAATTTCAGAAACCATCATTTCCAGATACTTGTTGTACCATCCGGGTTTTCTCTGATTCTAATATCTCTTTCCCTTGAATCTGATATATTAGGGGGCAGCCAATGGATTGGATCCCAAACCATCGAGCTCATGCTGCAGAAGTAAATGATTGTGGCGATCATAGCAGCTTGTTTGTAAAGGTGTACATGGAAGGCATTCCAATAGGCCGAAAACTCAATCTGGTTGCGCACGACGGCTACCATGAGTTAGTGAGGACTCTGGAAAACATGTTTGACACTACCATTCTCTGTAAAGTCCCACCTCACTGCTTTTTTCCTGATTCTGTCTAACACTTTAATTTGTTTGATCGGATAATAACAATGCATTATGGTGGTGTGGCTTGAACAGGGGGGACAGGGATGGATGGGGTGCAACCAGAGAGGTGCCATGTGCTAACATACGAAGACGAGGAAGGTGATTTGGTTATGGTCGGCGATGTTCCTTGGGAGTGAGTGATTTCTCTGAATCGTCTGTCGGACATTGTGACAAACACGTAGTATTCCATATTTGGGCATGAACTTATGATGTCTTTGTTTACATGCAGAATGTTCCTATCGACTGTGAAGAGATTGAAGATAACGAGGGTAGACGCATTCGGATGTTGATTTCAGATGCGACAGTGCAGCCTCTTGCTTTGGTGGTTTCCAATTTTGTCCTATAGTTTTAGTGGTAGCGATCTGTGATGAGATGTGATCAGGGTAGTGTTAGGCAAAGCACGCTGAAAGCTATAGATGTATATGCACAGCCTCAGACTTTGTCGTTTTTCTTTAATAAAAGAAAGTGGAAAGCATTAGTTCTTGTACATTCTTGGCTAAACTGAACTGCTCCTCACTTTTCTTCCAGGATTTTAAATTTAAACAAATAGTTTTATTTCTGTCATGCACCGCTTTACCCGCTTGTTGAGTGTCGACGCCCGGTTCCTCGGCTTCTAGAAAGGAATGAACAGCGAAGTAAATGCAGAAGATCGAATTCGCCATAATAATGGAGAACGTGCTACAAAATGGAAGGGCAGGAAGAGACGTTGGAATTGTTGTCGGACTAGGTTGATTGGTAATAAATAGGCCCAAAGTCCCCAATTTAAGTTCACTTCCTTCAACCATCCCCCCCCCCCTCCCAAGTTAAGAGAAACTTAAATGCGAAACTCAAACCCAAAAAACATATCTGGTGGCCCAAAAACATTAGGACAAGAATTCTTGAGCCTTCGACCAAGGCCCAAAAAATTCTCAAAAACAAGGACTGCCTGAGAAAAAGTACTTAATAAATTATACCCGCGGAAATTATGCAAGAGGATATTTTTGGAGTTTAATAAAATATTACTTGAGAAAAATCCGAATTCATTATAGATTGTGACCAGAAAAAAAGTATTTCTCATGACACATAATCGTATTTGAGTATTTCTTAGGCCATAAGAAATACTCTGGCTTTGGAGTGTATATGTATATGTAATCGTATTTTCGGTGTGCAGAACATGTATAATTATTATTTACATGCAGAGACAAAAGTGAAAGTTAATTTAAAGGAAACGAACATTGTCGTTTCTTGCTCCTAACTGACAAAGTTCGAGGACAAATTAACAGCCACTTTTCTTTTTTTTTTGCCTTATTTTACTTGAAATGGCAAACGAAGAATATTTTTTGTTTTTGCTGGGGCCAATAGCATGCCGGAGAATGTAATGAACGACAATCCAGGCCTAAAAATATGTCATAATATAAGTCTCCTTTCTTATTTAATTCTAGTGTCTTTTGAGTACAGACGACGTGATAGCTAAGATCCAAATAGAACGAATAATGAACGCGGACATGGTCTGTGTCTTTAGAAATTATTTTCCTTCGCCACCCTCTCGCGTCGTTTGGCCGTGGGCACCATCCTCCTGTAACTACATAGCTACCGAGGACAAGGAACTTTATAAAACCCAGTCGGCATCAAATCAAAGTGGCGTCCAAAGATAAATTACAAACAGAGAACTTATGGTCGAGGAACATGCTTCCAGTCACAATACGTTAATTATTCGAAGCGGTACCAAAAGACAAAAAGAAAAGTGAAAAGAAGCTAGAACAAAAGGTTAGTAGTTAAAAAGATTTCTGATGCTCGCAATCCAAATTAGGTCCGGTGTCCACGTTAAACAACTTGGCATATCTTCGGAAGAACCCGATTCGATCATTCACTCTGGGATCGTTCGGGATCCCACACTCCAATCCACCGTTGATTATGTTGGTCACCAAGCCATAGCCAGCCGTACGATTCGCTGCTATATCAACCCGTGTCGGCACATAATTCCCCACCATCACATTGTGAGGAGAAGGTACCGGTTTTCGTTCTGTCATCCAAAACCACAGAGCCGTTTTAAACGCAATCACAGAATTGTTGGCTACGATCTCAGGATTCTTCAACCCGTCAAATCCCAAAGCCTCCCCGGCCGGCCCATAGTTAAAGTTCCTGCAAATTCGTAAGAGCTAAGTTAATTAACACGTCTTCGTTAGAGCCGGACAGTAAAAACGGCATGAATGAATGAACGCGTAATGATGTGTACCAGGAAAGTTGAATGGGTCCTCTGCCAAAGTAACTTTTACCAGGATAACAAGGCCATTGAGTGTTGTTGGAGTCGCAGTAATTACTTTGAGGTTTAAGTTCTTGCTTGAAGCACAAGCCCCAAGCATAGGGTCCATCAGGTGCAGTGGCCCACCCACCAGTGGTCTCGTGGGAGATTTGAGCGAGAAACGCAGCTATCTCTCGCTTTCGTGTTGATATATTTCCGGTGCTGCCAAATTCAGGGAAGCGTTTGGTGGCGTGAATGAAAGACCTGTAGGTGTAGAAGTCCTTGGCAGGGCATGCCGTGTCATCTTTGTGAAGGAAGATGGTTTCAAAAAACTTTTTGCTGATGAGAGATGAAATGGAACAGGGACGAGCCTCCGCTCCCAGGGATGCAAAGTAGGTATGACAGAGTAAGAAGGCGGAGAAGATGAAGGAGAAGAAAGAAAAAGCAGAGGAGGAGGAGGAGGTTGCCATTTACTGATCAAACAGGGGTGAAGACGGGGAGGTCGTGAACTATATAGTTTGTGTGCACCTGAAGGGCTTTTATACATAGAGGCTCTTGTTGGAACACGTAAATGTGATTCAGTCAGTCAGAACGAGGCATGAGTGGTACAGGTCTGTGTTGTGAATGAAGATAAATAAGTGCAAGTTGACTGGATCCGAGCATTAAGTGGGAGCAATTGTGCAGGTGGAGCGTTGACATGAGCCATGCGGCACATGCGTTGGAGTGGAGATGACGAGAATCGGCCGGCGCAAGCATCACTGATGGGAGGAATTGGACATGATCCGAACACATCAAATAGAGTTGATTGAAGTGTACATAAAGAATAAATAACTCTACGCATTTGTTCACAACCTATTTTGCTCGTGATTCCTAGCAACTACGTCCAATCAAAAACTTGTTTTCTGTTTTTTAAAGCATCTCATAACAGGGGGTGGAGGGAATTTGACAGCAAAGCGGGGACGAGTGGGAAAGTGCATCCGATTTTCCGTGTAATTTTGTAATGTGAAAAATCTCTCTCTCTCCCTCTCACACACACGTTAAAAATACAGATTCCATTTCTCTATTTCTCTTGCCCTACAAAAAAGCAATAGATGGGCTAGTGGCAACTGAACTAGGAAAGCATTAATCATGTAGAGTGGGGTTGACTTGACTTGATCAGCACACTACTACTAGTTGAATCATCCGTAAAAGATAACCATATGGTGCCACAGCCAGGGGAAGGGCAGTTTTCAGTGTTTATAATTACGTGGGTCAATCAATCTCTGTTCTCTCACCAAGATAATAAACAAATAAGCACGAAAAAATAAAATTAAAAATATCTAACTGACAAAAATGTTAAAAAGGCCCGTCAAATTTATAGACCCATCCTACGAACTTACAATAAAGGACCGAAGTGTCTACTTTCTGTGGGCAGCCCTTCCATCCGGCAGGGTTCGAGGGTTCCTGCGTTAAGAGAAAAGACTCATTATTTGCATTAATATTTTAAGCAAGATAATGGCCCCGTGTTAGTTTGACCTCGACTCTTTCTGTATAATTAGCAATTACTTCAAAAGAGTTTTCCCCTTCATTTTGAGCTTGTCGGAGCTTGACTTTAGATTTTTCACCCATATGAAATATCGTCCAGACGTCCACCAAAAAAAAAAAATAATAAAGGTAAGTCAAATACTAGTTTTTATGTTAAAAATTTTATCGTTAGTTCCTATATTTCCCCCCGATTTAAATCTCTTAAATTTCATATGATTGTAAGGTTAGTTTCTATATTTTAAATATAATTATAAATACTTAACAATGACTAATGTTGCAAAACTATATCATAACAAAATAAATGAAAAACAAAAACAAGTAGAACATTAAATCAAAATATTTAAATGTGTAATGGATAAAATTTCAAAAGAAGAAATTGACACAAAATTAGGCTGGACAAATAAAAAGATTAGCAGTCATTTTATTTCTACAATGTCTAACTCATCGTAATATTACCAACTTGAAAACAAAATTAAACAAGCCATGTACACATCATCACATTTAATGATTTGTTAATGACGATAAGCACTAATGTTGAAGACATATAAAATTTAAAGAACCTAGAGCAACAAAAAAACTATAAAGATTGATATCAACACAAACTAAATGTATAAAGACTAGTAGTTATATTTATCAAAAAATAAAAAACTCCATTGTCTTTCTACATTAGCAAGATACATCGGGACCGCGAAGCAAAAAGGAGACCAAAATCTTATCATATGTTCGCGATCAATTTTAAAAGCTAGCATACAAAATGATCCCATAAAAATAACCAGTTTGATAAATGATTCATAACAAACACTAATAAAAAATCTAGTTTGGAGGTAAATGAGCATAAAATGTGGCACGAGTGCTCAGCTACAAAACTCTGTGCTTAGCTCATGGCTAGTGGTTTCTGTTAGCTTAGACATTAATTACTAAACTATACAAGAGGTCAAGGAAGTGTCGCATGCCCCGCTAATACTCCAGTCTCAATTAAAACCAACTCAATGACTGATGAAGCTCAGCAATGTGCACAATCAATGAGAAAAGGCTCGTTTGGGGATTTAGTTTCAATGCCGAGCACCTACTCTAGACCATCCATTAAAATTAAATCGTTCGGAATTCACATTTAATATAGTTTTATTTTTCATATTTTAAAATTTTAATAAATACAAAATTTAATAAGGATAATCTCTTAATTGTCATTCGGTCAAAAATGAAATTTTTATTTAAAAATTAGAGTAAAATATTTCAACTTTCTCTTTATTTCATCTTAATACAGATGCATCTCTTTCTATTTTTGAAACATATACGAACCCAAGTGTACAGATTTGATTGTAGTGAAATATCTAGAGTATCCGAGTCATGCCCAAGAAAAAGCAATAATCTTTATTGTTTTGTAAGAACACTTAGTAATTTTTCGAAGAAGAATGAATTTGAACTAAATAGAAAAAAAATTTAAAGCAAATGATTTAGTAAAACCATTCAATCGGTGACTCACTCAATGCCAAAGCATCAAGGATCGAATTCACCTATTGAAATGTTCTACTATCACTCACTCGAAATTATTTCAGTTTAATTAAAAGCAACAATCATTATGAAGGTGACTTAATTACCTTTCAAAAGATTAAGATATATTTAATTAAAGTTAGATAATTAGCCTTCGCTTAATTATAACCCTTTAATTAAACTAATAAGCTATGATTAATGCTGTCATAAACTCTTAAATTATTTTTAATTTAATTATTTATGACTACTTTCTTGGGTCGAGACTCTCTCTTCTCATTTCAGTTCAACAGGCAAGCCCACAAACCAAGAATGTATTGGCCAGTTACAAACTCAACAATTGAACAATAATGAAAAGAAAATAAAATTAAATAACTACTCTTGAATATTCACGGAACAATAAATTTAGAACAAGAAGAATAAAATTCAAAGCAAGAAAATAGTATAACAATTAAATGCTATATATGAATATAAAAATCCCCAAAAATTGCGTAAATAAAGGACTTCACTCTCCTAGTATGAAAGTTACAAAAAATAAATATCTTTTCTTGATAGATATTTAAGGTTTTTAAGATTTCGTTTCCATATAGCTAGCCAGTAGTTAATAGTTAAGTCACATGCGTTAAACCAAAAGGTCCCCTCTTTAAATATGAATGTTTAAAAATCATTCCAATTACCCAAAAAAATTAATGCATATTGTAAATACCGTAGTTTGTCCGGGTTTTCAGATGCAAGTTGAAAATAAATAGGAAATATAACAGAATAAATAAAATGGAATTTTACAATAAAAAATAAAAAATCTTCATAAACCAAATTAAAAAAACTATTTTCCCTTTTCATGGCCTCCAAATCCCTACAGTTATGGTCCTATTAAATTAAATGTTATAATTTGAAATTGAAATAATCAAGGCAAAAGTCAAATAAAAATTATTAATGATTTGATGTGATTATATTTGATTGGGTTATTAATGGAAGAAAAACCCTAGTTGAGTCTTTATAAAAGGGATAGCAAGGAAGGAGACAATAAGGTTTTCATTACCAATTCATAATTAACTCCATAATTAAGATAATTATAGGATTAACTCAAGTAAATTATTAAGTTTATAAAATTACACAAATGGGATCCTAAGTTTTTAAAACTTTAACATGCTAAAGAAATCATTTCATAAACAAAAATTAGAGGAAAACATGTATGCGAAAGCATAGACATCATACAAGGTAAGATAACATCAAATCAAGATTAAAAGAGCCAAAATAGTGATTTTGGCATAATATGCTGTAGCATAAAATGCAGAAAGCCCATGACAGCTAAATTGTCATGGCAGATTTTTTTGTGAAATTTCTAATGCTTCCTATTTTCCCATCTAATGTTCGATTGAGGTGATCTAAATTTTTACAGAAAACTTTCTTTGAGATCTAGCTAATGACACTTCACATTCAAATCATTTATCAATTAAAAGTTGGACATCAAAATGTAAACTTACCTATTTATACTTTCAAAACATAACTAGGGTGTCTAACATCACAACCAAGTGTCATAAGCTTACAACCACCCTTAGATCATGCTTAATAGACATAATAAGACATGTGTAACACATCACAACACTCCAATAACATATACAACACATTTTCAATGCTTAACCCCGTAGTCTCCAAAATGTCAGGGGGATTCTCAATCATGTAATCTCACATCTTAATCACCATTATTCACAAACATACTCACTTCTTACTTGCATAAGTATTTTAGCCCTATTTAAATTTTATATTAATTTACATATAACTTAGGGCCCAAAATACACAACTTAAATTAAGAGTCAAATAATACAAGTAAGCAAAAACATGTAATCTCCTAATTAGCATTATCAAGACAAATTACACCCATAAACTCTTAAACAAATGGGCCCTATAAATTTAGGATAGAAATCCTAAACTTATGACCGTTTCTCTCAATTTTGTCTTAATGAGCTAGTTTTTGTAATATTAAAGAGAGGGGGATGAGTATAATTACTCAGTAACTAAGGTCAATCTAATCTATACAGTTGCATATTAATTAATTATAAATACAAATGGCAATTAATAACTTCATAAACATTACATGCATATATTTCAAATATAGCCTCAGGCATAAAACTAACAACCATGTAATCGGACATAACCATATAACATCACATAATTTCAAAGTGCATGTCATGGGGTTACAATAATAGCAACCATCTACCCCAAATAGAAAACATGCTGGACCACAATAATAAAAACTATATGGCCCAAAATAGAATGCCAACTTTATACCCTCATGATGCCTCTGACATGAAATCGATGGCTATTTAGTAGCTATATCCTCAACTCAAATTAACCTAACCTTTCATTTATGAGGATTTACCGGGCTAGGGCGAACCCACTCACTTGTGATCCACGGTTTTCCTTAATACTAGCAATCATGGGGTGTCGTGCCTCTAATTTGGCCTCCTCATGAACTGATGGAGACTAGTTAAGTTCGAGTTTCTTAAAGAATAAATGAGACAGTCCCGAACCAACCATGGGATAATGGTCACCTCCCGATTCTAACGGTCGGTGTTAAGACAAGCTTTTGATTCCAATGATAAACCATCATTATCATGTGGGGTTAACACAATTACTCCGTTTCCTATAGGTAAACTCACACCATAATGATCATGCCATTCACAAATAACAAGATGCATGTCATTCAAATAACAATAATCACATCATATCATGCTCATATAATTCTCATTCTCTAATATAATCCACACACTACAATCATATTCAT